CTCCCCCTCCCCCTCCCCCGCAGTCTCACGCTCACGTCCCTCCAGCCGAGCACGAGGCTCCCAAACAGCTCTATCCCTACAGCTGATGGCGCACGCCTCGCTATGAGCACGATTATTGAACCGTTTCTTGCGCGGCCTCAATAAATACCCAACAGTCCACAGTAGATCGAAAACCAGTATCCATCCGAACGAAACACAAAGATAATGAGTGTGTGTCTGAACATACGGTAAACTACGGAGTTTTCCCCCGGGGAGGGGATCGTTTTTTTTTTCTAAAACCAAACCCCTTGGGGGGAGATTGACGTACCGCGGGGGGGTCATTTTTTTTTTTCCAACGCTACCCGGGGGGAAGGCTCCCCCCGGGGGATTGTGCAAAATGATGATGGTCCACACACCACACACACAGAGTGGCGAAACTGAGGTGGATAAGGTTTACGAGCAAGCATTCAACAAGCAGAGGGAGGAGGAACGCAAGAGCAATGAAGACGAAAAGAAAAGACAGCAAGGAGGACAGCAGCTCGGGGAGCTTGTCTCGTCCCGCGAGTGATTCCAAGAAGAGGAAGGGCCCGCCTTCCGAGAGTACCCGCTAGATCTGCGAATGAATTCTCCGTCCCATGTCATGCTTTTTGTGCTCCGCGATGCAACAAAATCGACTCAGAAAATGAGGGAACTATATCCCCCCGGGGGGAACTCGTGGGAAAACTGGTACCCCGGGGGGAAATTGAAATACCCGGGGGGATTTTTTTTTTGGTCGAAAACGATCTACCCCGGGGCGAGATAAACGAAACCATGCTTCCAGACCGAAAAGGTAGTGGGGGGAGGGGGAAACTGTACTGGGGGGGGGAAACTCCGTAGTTTACGGTAGTTGCGAGTTGATCTCTACCACGCCATGGTGCGTTTACGTCGTCTGGCCACGTGCAACTTTGACCGTCCCGTGCCCTTTGCTTCGAACAAGTCCCTTCGCTTTGGCTGATGATCCTCCTCGGCCCTCTCGTTTGCTCTCAACTCTTCACAACCCTCTTTCGTTTGTCCCACGCCACACCAACACGCAGCTTCGGACCCCTCTGGTCATTCCGCCACCCGCCCCCTCTCCAAGAAACACGCTCAACCCTGACCTTCGGCCTCCCAAACACGGACCCCCCTCCCGCTTGCGTCCAACTTCCGAATATCGAAACTTGTTTTACCCACCCCCGCCAAATACGCCCCACCCCACCCTGAGCCTCGCCCCCCAACACGTGGAGCCCTCGACTTGCGCCGAACTTCCGAAAATCGAAGCGTTTCCTACCCGCCCTCGCTACACATGCCCCACCCGGAGCCTCGCCTCCCGACAAGTCGAGCCCTTGGCTTGCGCCGAATTTCCAAGAATCGACACTTCTCCCGCTCGAAACACAAACTGTTACGTTGAATGTATGAAAGGCTATACTGTGGGTTGGTGGCGCTGCTTGAGCTGGTCAAGTTTACGCCGCTCATCGGAGCGTTGCAGGGCACAGTGGGGCCTTGGTCCATCGTGATCAACGTCCTGCTGGGCGTCGACGCTGCGGCATCTTACGCGAGAATAGATCGGCTTCCGGGCAAGCGTAAGGTGAACGTGTGTTGTTGTTGTTGTTGCTGCTGCTGCTGCTGCTGTTGTTGTTGTTGTTGCTGCTGCTGTGTTTGTTGTTGTTGCTGCTGCTGGTGTTTTGTTGTTGCTGCTGCTGCTGCTGCTGCTGTTGTTATTGTTGTTGTTATTGTTGTTGCTGTTATTGTTTTTGCGGTTATGATGGTGGACGGTGTTGTTGCTTTTTTTGTTGGTCGTATTGGTCGTTGGTGGTAGCGGTATAATGTTGTTGTTGTTGTTGTTGTTACTGTTGTTGCTGCTGCTGCTGTTTGTTCCTGAAATGTTGGTGATTGTGGTGGTGGTTGTAGTCGTCATGGTCGTTGTCGTCATCTATGGTGCACCCACACCCCTTTGTATCACCATGGCGTTATGGGCAGCCGCGCAATCAATAGGGGGCAGTAGAGGAAGAAAAGGCGTATCTTTAGCATGTTATCATGAGCGGCTACGGTAAACCAGGCTAAGGCAAGCAACACCCCAACCAGAACACGTGTGGGGGGCGCTTCTTCCTTGCCGCCGCCAGGCATCTGCTGCCCGAATTTTCACTCTCTGTGTGGTGGAAGATCAATTGCCAAAGGATTGCTGTGGTCGCGGATGTTGGTTTCATCGCTTGATGAAGCGTCTGCGCCGCAAAGGATTACCTGTGGTGTTGATGTGGTTGTTGGCTTCATCGTCCGCGTGGCTCACATGCACAGGTTATACTGTACAGCTTGTTCTGGACCGTGGTTCTGTCGGCGAAGTTCCTGTTTAACTTTTTCTTTATGATCCGCCCGCTCGTTGGGTCGACGCGGACCGTGTGGGACCTAGACATGAGCGGAAGGTTTGTGTGTTGGACAAGTGAATGCACTTTATTACGTCTTTTGCGTGAAAGTAGATATAGACTGAATAAAATTCAAAGTCTTGAACGGTTCGGTCCCCATCTCCTCTTCTGGCATTCATTTCCCGGAGATTTATCTATGGTATTTGTTGTACATATAGGTATGCATGGTTGTTCAGTTCACTCTCGCTCCGAGTGCGACTTGCCGAGGAGAACTGCATCCATTTTTTGGCGTTAATCTACACTGGTGTTGCTGGTATCGTCCCGTGCTGCTTTGTGTTTCTGTTGTTGATTGTTTGCGAGCGAGCGCTCGTTGGTGCTCTCTCTGTCTCTGTAAGCTATGGTCGGGTTTCGGCCCGACCTGTAGCACACGTTGTCACGTTCGTTGTCTGTCAAACCTTGCCATCTCTGGGATAGCGGTCTCAACAGAGTCGCCGCTCTGCATCGCCTTCTGTTTCGCCGCACCCTTCCATCCGTGTCGACTCTGGTAGGTACGACCTCGGCTTCGTGTCTTTCCGCGATACCCACAATGTCGGCATCCTGGTCGGCGTGTGGCTTTCTGTGGCATTTGTATATTTCATCGATCTTCAGGTAAGCGGTAGTTGTTGTCGCTGTTGTTGTTGTTGCTGCTGGTTGATGTTGACCCGCTTAAAATGGCGTCGCATCTACAGCTCTAGAGCTGCTATCATCGTGTTTGCTTTTGAGCTTGTCCGCGAAATCGAGGGCTCTTTCGTACGGCCGAATTGTTGTCCTCGGGCCTTTGTTGGGATGATCATTTGTTCTCGGTCGCATTTCGTGTTTCCCGGAGAAGGCGCAATGTCTCACGGTGAACGCCTTGGGTTACCACCCCATGTCAGACACACGGGGTTCTGAGGTGCTATGTTTTGCGTGCAGTGTGCGTGCGCGCGCTCTTTGCTATCATGATATGACGAAGAGAGAAGCTTTGTCTGTCTGTCTGTCTGTCTGTCTGTGCGTCTCTTCTCTTTCTCTCTCTCTCTCTCGCTCTTTCTCTCTCTCTCTTTCTCGCTCTGTGTGTCTCTCTGTCTTCCTCCCGTTCTATTTCTCTGCTGGTGCTTTCTGCACCTGCTTACTGACCGATGCGTGTCTATTCACCGCTGTTCCGGTCGGGTTGCTTGCTGTCCTGCTGTCTAAAACGTGTTGCCTTCTCCATCGTCGTCGTCATTTCTTTGCGCTGTCGCCTGCGAAGGTGTGGTTCATCATTGCCGAGAGCGTCATGTCTGCCTGCTACGGCGTGGCGAGGCACGTCGGGGAGCGGCTCAACCCGAACGAGATCTGTGGGTCCTTCGAGAAGATGTACAAGATTTTCTTCAGGTGTGTGTTAGTCGCTATCCCGATCCTCATCAGAGTGCAAACAAGGGCAAATATTTATTCCTTTTTCGTTTTTATTGTTCGTTTTTTTTGCGTGTGGGTATTCTGTGTTTAATTGTTCATCTCGCTTGTCCCATCTAATTTCCCTTTGTTAGTGCATTTATCCCCTTTTTGTCTCACACAACGGCCACTAGAACCCCATTCACCTCAAAACAAGTGGACATAACGAGATGCGGGGGAGAGGGCGGATGTTCCGTCAGCCTCCCCGAGCGCACGCGTTGTGATCACCGTGTGGTTCGACGCAAAGTTGGTCTTGCAAGACAGCCTGATATTTTCAATTGTGTCAGGCGAAACGCAGGGTCTACGCCAGTACTACAACAAGGGAGAGTAGCAGCATCTTGAGAAGATGGGGGCGGGGGGCTGCAACAAAGCTTCGCGACTATGCACTCACCCTCGCTTCCTCTTTGCTCCCCTTCGTCCATTCCCATTCGCTCCCATTCGCTCCCGGTCGTGCCTGGTTGTCTCCGAAATTTCTTCAGGTACTTGGATGCCGAGGACCAACAGAAGCACTTCCGCTTCGCGTACGTCTGGAACGAGGTGCGTAGAAGCAGCGAGATTGTTGCCTAATTTGCCAGTCCTTCGAGCCGAACAGACACTGCAGTGTTGGTCGAGGGTGGCCTGCGAGCTTGGCCCGACGCAATGCATAAGTTTCTGGGTCGAGTCGTGGCCCAAACACCCGCCGCTCATGGAGCCTTGTGTGTGCCGCGGAAAGGCGGTTTGCCTTCTTTTTCTTTTTGCAACTGTTTTCTGTGCTCTTGTGTGTACTCTGACCGAGGGTTTTCTTGTTTTCCCCTTCTGTTCTTGTGCCTACTGCTTTGACTACCGTAAGATCCGTTGAGCTATTTGGTCCCGCCCAAAAGCAAACGCCGGGGTACTCCAAGAAATTCAAAATTAGCCCCAAGTATTGTTTACCATTTTCGACCTCCCGCCCCAACGTCTTTTTTGAAGGCAGTCTCTTTATGCCCAACACCTGGAGAGGAGCTTTGCATATGTCATGTGCCGTGTTGGTATGCAGCCTCCCTCTACCGCATATCGCTTTGCTGTTGCCTATTGAGAAAGGTTGGATCCAGTGGTCACGCGGCAGATGTGGGGGATTTCTTGTGTGCTTCCAAATGGGGTGTTCATTCCTCAGATTTTCCCCCCCCCCCCCCCCTCCGCCCCCTGCCCCCGAGGGGGAGCAACTCTCCCTTTATATCGTATTGCCACCATTAAAACCAATCTTTGCTGATGGTAATGTCGTTGAACCACTTTATGTTTGTCGTGACGCCAAAGGTATTGGGCGCGATGGGCAAGAGCGCCCAACTCTCTCCTACATATCGTAATGCCATTAACACCAAATGTATGCGTACCGCAATGTCGCCATGGAGACCAACCTTTGTCGTGACGAAAAGGTGATGATGGACGCGATGCGATGCGCAAGAACGCCCCAACTCTCTCCTGCATATCGCAATACCATTCAGACCAAATTTATGCTTGTCGTATTGCCGCCATTTTTACCAACTCTGTGCTTACGGTGACAACAAAGGTGGTGGACGCAATGCGCAAGGAGGACGTCATCGGTGACCGAGAGATGGCCGGCCTCAAGTACTTCGTCGTGTCCCTGCACCGCCCCAACAGGTCAGAGCGAGAAGACTTGACTGGTGTCCGGCTTCACGCGGCGAGTTTATTCCATTCCCGCGCCTCTCTCTCTTCGGAGGCATGTTTCGACATCCCCTACGTGCGTTAAGCACGTCCCGCGGTCGGTTGGCCATCGTGATAACTTGGACAGTTCGGGAGCAAGCGCGAATGTTTTTCGTTCTTTCAGATAATGATCATGATCCTGTGCATGCACGGCAGTAGGTGTAGCTTGTGGGGGTCGGCGGTGGCAGTTTTGAGACGACCATCAACTCCTCGTCTTCTTGATGCCGTCCGTCTTTATCGCGCCGCCACTGAAGTGTAGCGGCGTGTCATGCCTCTGTTGCCTCTCCGCGACGACGAAGCCAACAACAGCAACAATACTGGCAACAACAATGGCAACAACTGCAGCTCAGCAGCAACAGCAGCAACAGCATTACCAGCTTCTCATCAACAGCGACGACGACAATGACATGGACGCAACAAACATATATTGCTCCGCATCCACGACGTCATCAATGGCAACACCTATTGCTCCGCACGCATGACAGCAACAACGATAACAACATCGATTGCTGCACCCAAGACGTCAATAGCAGCAATAACAACGTGTTTTCTCCGCACCCACGACAGTATCAACGATCAACACCTGTTGCTCCGCATCCACGACGTCAAGAGCAACAGCTACACCTATTGCTCCGCACCCACGACAATAATAATGGCCTTTTGCTCCGCATCCACGACGTCAACAAGAGCAACAGCAACGCCTATTTCTTCGCACAAACGACAATATCAACCATAACAACAACAGCTATTGTTGTGTCGCTCCGCGCCTGCAGCGTCCTGGCGTTGCTACCCGGTTTCCTGGTGTCGGGCAAGATCCAGGGCTCCGTCAAGACGGCGAGGGACTTCGCCAGGCAGCAGGACGAGCTCATCAAGGACCTCGTCGCCGTGGACGCGTGGGGGAAAGGCGAAGACAAAGGAGCACGGTGCGTGTGTACGGTTCCAGGTACAAGAGGTGGTATACGTGCCGGAGTAGCGTGGTGTTTTGTTTGCATTTTGATGCCCGAAGTGTCTCAGAGAGCAAGCGCACTTGATGGCATTGTTTTTCGCGTCGATGCGCTGTAGTTAAAAGGATCGCCGTTGGACGTGAATCTGCCATCCGTCTGGACGTACAATAGCAACGACTGGAACAGCAACAGCAGCAGCACAATAGCAACGACTGCAACAGCAACAGCAGCAGCAGCAGCAGCAGCAGCAGCGACAACAACAACAACAACAACAACAACAACAACAACGGCAACAAACAGGTACGAGGCGGCTGAGAGACGAAAGCCCGCGACCGGTTTCTTCGACATGATCGAGAACTTGGCCAAACAGGTACGAGGCGGCTGAGAGACGAAAGCCCGCGACCGGTTTCTTCGACATGATCGAGAACTTGGCCATGCCAGACCACGACGAATACGGCGTCGCTCGGGCGGCCGACCTCAAGGTCGTGAAGCAGATGCGGACGCTGCGGCTGGAGCAGAAGAGGTTCCTCCGCGGCATGCTGTCGGTGTCTGACGCCATCAGGTGGGGTGGGTCTGATCTTCGTTGACCCGTCCCCGCTGTTCCGGGCGGCCATGATGATGACGCTGGGTGTTTAGTTGCGTTGACCTATTTAGCACCGCGTTTGCTGCCAATCATGATGACGACGCTGGGTATTTAGTTGCGTCCTGTAGAACGGCCGTGCGTTAGAAATGGAATGGGTACTTTGTAGGGTCCGTGCGTGTTACATGACAGATAGACCAACGGAAGTTGCTCATGACAGTGGGGGGGAAGCTGTTTAGTGCCGGTATGTGCCTAGAGAGTTGACCGGCACTCTACCGGACACCAGAACAGTTCAAAGCACAGAATGGCTTGGTGATTCAGTCTGTGCCAGCCGAGTAAACCGGCACTAGACCGGCCACTGTCACTCTCAGCCGTCGCTAGCAGGGCCCCCAACTGTAGCCGTTGTCGGTGGTGGTGCTGCCGTACTCTGTTGTGTTTGTTGTTATCGTTGCTGCTGAAAACACCCGCGAATTCGTGTTGAGTGTGCCGGACGCTTGTCAAGCGGGGGATGGCGTCGCCTTGATGTGTATGTGTACCGTTTTGTGTGTGTTTTCCGGTGCGATCTGTCTGCCTTTCTTGATGCTGCTGCTCGGTTGCTTGGCCTGCAGGGAGGTGGCGTTTCTCCACCTGTTTCTCAGCGTATTCTTCCTGGTGGAGCACCTCTGCCAGAACGAGGCCATCTGCGCGGGAATGTGGGAGCTGTACGAGTTCGTCACCGGACTGGCCGGCTCGAACGACGCGGCCGGCTCCATAGCCGACACGTGCGTCTTGCGCTCTGCTTGCCGTATATTTCCTGTCACGGCGGGTATCTGGGGGGGATGTCAGGGTCGCCTTCATGAAGGTCGCGGTAGCTGATGATCTCGTCACCGAAGAAAATTGCGCGACTGCATTGGAATTTCTGTTTTGAATCGCACGACCCGCGACCGGCTCCATGTCCGACACGTAAGAATCTTGTGCCCTGTTTGCTGTAACATTCCTACCAAACCGGATATCTGGATGTCACATTCGTCCTCATGAAGATCGCGTTAGCTATAGTGATCCTGTCACCGAAGTTACGAGCGCGACTTTTCAGACTTCTTTCGTTTTTGGTGACAGAGACAGGCTGCTGAGCGGTGGTACGAATGGAGTTGTTTCGCCTCTATCGTTTATACGCAGATACATACGTCACCCTCTGTTTTTTGCCTGATATTCTTTTTTCTTGCTGTCACACGACGAATCCATATCTACCCAAAGATTATATAGTCTAGGACAAGTTTGCAATGAATCCATTGCGTTAGCGGAGGCACTACCTGTGGCTCTACATTTTTCGTTCCCCGTCGGAGGTACATTGATAACTGGTACCCTTTAATTGTCTTCCCTGCTATTTTTCCTTTCCCGATACTTTTCGTCCCCCCGGGTCCTGCAGGCTCATGGAAGCCAACCCGAAGCGGGCGATCTTCCTCCTCCATCAGTGGCCGGACGTGGTCTTGGCCCTCGAGACGCTGGTGGCCGCGTTGCTGAGCAAGAACGGGAGGGCGGCGAGGAACGTCCGCAAGGCCATGGAGAAGCTCTGTCTGGCCATGGCGGCCTTCATCGATCCCTCCACCCACGGCCATGGCATGAGGTGTTTAGTGAAGTGGTTCTTGTTTGCGGAGTGATAACAGAGTAGAAGGAAACATTGGTACATATCAGCACGTCATCGCAAGAGAATATTGTCGATCTTGTTCGTGTGACGTAAGGGGTGCACTTCTGTCTCTCCCCGACTGCGGCAATGGAAACGTTTCCCGCAAAGGTGAACGCGCCAACTTTTTTTTTTCCAACTTTTCGGGCCGGTGTTATTCAATGGAAGCTGATGGCCTTTTTAAGGGCTACGAGTATAGTAACTCAGCCTGTGGCTCTCGTGGGCGCAAGCTAGACGCGCCGCTGTTCGATTCCAACGAGAGCAGTATAAAACATAAGCTGAAAGGAGTAGCCGCGGCACTCGCTAACAATGACTGTTTTCTTTCATTGCCCCGCGTTGTGTCGTTTTTCTTCGAATGTTTTTTTTTTTCGCGGGGGGGCGTTCGCAGGCAAGAAGAGGAAGGGGGGTGGTCGGCCGGTGACGAGAGCGGGCAGCTGGGCAAGCTGCGGCACAGCATGGAGCAGCTACAATCTGCGTAAGTAAACTCACGCGGTGCAGTCTTGCGTATTGCGCCCCAAAATGAACAATTGCGACCACACGTTGAAACAATACACAGATACAATGCACAAGTAATTTCACGATACCTAGTGGGCTGTTGCAACCGGGCGCTGGAAAATCTAAACGCTGGAAATCGGCGTAAAGTAAATGTACGCCGAATTGATAGCTCGATCGGTGGGTCGAAAGCACAACAGCTGTAGCATGGTGTCTCGGCAGATTCGATTGAAAGCAGCACACGTACCCCGGTTTGGACGGCGTGCGTGAAACCATTCCCTTGCCCTGAAAACGAAGCGACACGCTCACGTCCCCCATGCGCCGCCCTGTCAATCTCTTGTCCCGGTTGAACGGTACAGAGAACCGGGCGTGGCGTAGAAATTCCTACCCCTGCCTCCGAAAATTGTTAACGTAAGCAATGCTCGTTTTCTCTTGATGTTTTTACTTGTTGAAGTCAAGCGGGGGCAAGAAGTTCCCTTGCATCACTCGGTGTGGAGCAAGCTGTGCCGTTCATGACGTCTTCTCCTGTAAAACGTTCTGTTTCCCGGGAGGCATCAGCGCGACGTTGTGGTTTATTTTTCTGTTGGCTTCTGGGGCGAAGGTTTGTGTGGTATGTCTTTGGGTTCCGGTAAAGCGCGACTTCGCTCGCATTCCGTTCTCTGAACAACCCGACTCGCGATGAAAACTACAGCACGGATGCGGTGTTGGTGCAATCTGCGCCGTATGCTGTAAGCACGTTGGACCTATTTCGGCTTCGATGCGGCCCATGTGTGCAATGTTTTTCGCAGGCTGATCGCGTGGCCCAAGTCCGCCAATATCACGCAGGATGAGGTGGACGCCCTGCACAAGGACCACAACGAGTTCCTCATGAGGTTCCACAGCCTGGTTTCCAGCACCAACAGACCAGGCAAGTTTATGATTGTCGTTGTTGCTGTCCTTGTTGGTGTTGGGGCGAGTTTTAGTGTTTTTTGGTTGCTGTTGTTTGTGGATTGCTGTTTTTGTTGGTGTTGGGCGAGTTGTATTTTTGTTTGTTTGCTGTTGTTTGTTGTTGTTGTTGTTGATGATGGTGGTGTGCTTGTTGTTCCCTTTGATGTTGCTGGTAGCTCCAGTCGCGGTATCAACGAAAACCAGCCTGCAGACACCCAAGGATTCGTTCACCGAATGTCGCAAGTTGTGTCAGGCGCCATCATCAGCTGAACCCAACATCTACTCTGGCCACCGGAAGACCTGACGCTGTTTCTGCTCCGAAATCCGCCTTGCGCTCCGTGATGTTCACCGTCTGAACCTTACAACCCATCCAGGCCACGTGGAGAGTTGGGAAGGGCAACGACGGGTGGCTTTCTTCGTCAACTCCATGTACATGAGTCAGCCAGAGGTACGCGCATATGCCAGGGATCGTGCGTCAGGGTCCGCGCTCGCTCTCGCTGGTCCCTTTTCCCGATTCAATATGGCTGCTGCCGTCCTCCATTCATTCCAAAACATAGTGGCAAACTTCCTGCGGGGTAGAAATCGAAAATCTATCCAGGGGGTGTGTTATCTTGTGTCACCAAACATATTCCTCCACACGCAGATCTCCGACGTTCGGCTTTTGATCGAATCCGTAGCCTAGTCCACAGCCGTTGACTCCACCCCTCTCAATCGCTGGTTGTTGCTGGTACAGGCAACGCGAGTGGAGAACATGCCGGCGTTCAGCACGCTGACGCCCTACTACTCCGAGGAGGTGATCCTCTCGGTCCAGACGCTGTGCGCCCAGACCCCCGACGGGGTGACCACTCTGGAGTACCTGCAGACTCTCTTCCCCGAGCAGTGGAAGGCGCTGGTAGAGCGCGTCCAGCGGGAGATGCCGGACGTGAGTCGTCG